GTCCTTTAATTCTTTGTAGATGATCTAGAACCATAGAGAATAGAATATTCTATTTTCTATGTCTAGAACATATTCCTGATTAAAAATGCATTCCTGACTTAGAACGCATTCTTGATAATAAGAATGCGCTCTCGATTTTAAATGTTCTTTTAAGCTATTATCCCTTCCATTCTGTTCTGTTCTTCTCCATTCCGTTCCAATATTTTTAAGAATGCGTTCTTTGCTTCCCATACTTTTTTTGGAATGATGGGATCATTCTGGATAGTTCCTTTCATTCTTGTGAATATTATTCCAACTAATGTTTATTTTGAGTTCTATGGTACAGGTTAGATAAATGAACGTAATTAAAAGTTTTGCACTGTTATCTACAAGTCTAGTTAGATTAATCACAATACAGATTTGTGTAGTTATTTCCAATGGTAGTTGGGTTATTGATAAGGTACAACATAATATAAATATGGAGTTTACTATGACATTTATTACATATTCTCTCCATTATCTACATTCTCTCCTCCATTCTTTTTATTTTCTTCATTCTATCCGTTCTCTTCTTTCTCTCCATTATCTCTATTCTCTCTATTCTCTCCATTATATCCATTCTCTCCATTTTCTCCATTCTGTTCATCTGTCCATTCTGTCCATTTTTTCCATTCTCTCCAATCTCTACATTCTCTCCATTCTCTCCATTCTCTCCTTTCTCTCCATTCTCTCCATTTTCTCCATGTAGCAAATATCGTAGCCATCGCCATATTTGTTAACCTTAGCATCTAGATAAACATGGGAATGGAGCATGGCCCTCTTTAAATGGAGGATCACTTGAAATTATCATCGTGTATTTGACGAGTTTAAAAAATAGACATGTTTTGGGACACTTCATAAAATGAGTTAAAATTCGGCAAGGCAAACCACTTTTGCATGTGGAGCAGTGGTTCTAAATTATTTTAGATTAGTTTAAGGTTATTTTTTTATTTTTTTACGCAATGCAGACTGACCCTTTTCTTCTATCTAACAGAATTCATAGTTTAAAATATCTAAGGTCTACAACATTGGGTAGCAAAGATATAGGGATTAGAAATATAAGTTTGTGAACAACTTGCAATTCCTTTAGACATTCTTATCTAACAGAAGTCATAGCTTGAAATATCAAAAGTCTACAACACCAGCTTGCAAAAATGTAGAGATTAAGAAAATTATAATTTGTGGCGAATTTTTATTTCTTTTTGTGTTTTTTTTTTATATTACTTACAAAGTGAGTAAAAAAGCGGCATTAGCTTTAATTTACAGACCACAATGAAAATATTTTCAGAGTTCATGTTTGGGGGTAAAAATATCAAATATAGTAAGACAAGTGCTAATTTTTTTTTAACACAAACAACGCAAAATAAAATTATTTAACAATTTTTTCTTTTAAAAAAAAATCGATTAAAAAATCAGTTTTTTTCTATTCTAAAGTTTCATAAAAATCTATTGATGAATAAAACATAACACGCATTTTCCAATTGATAAAATATTGTTGCATTTTAGTAAGTATCTACATTTCTAAATTTTTCAACCTAAAACATGAACCATGCCAACTGAAGTTATGATTTCAATTAGTCAAATAAATATGAAACCCAGCAATTGTGTTTGTTTACAGACCCGTTCCACTAAAGTTGATTTTTTTACAATTAGTAAATCATTTGCTTTATAACAGAAAATGCATATGTAAAAGTTCTTAATGTCGTCTTCCTTTTCCAGAGTTTTAATGGGGTTCATCAAACAAGATGTCCAAGAAACATTTATAAGATTTGAATTTTCACTAATAGCATGTTACAAAAAAACTCGTTTACACTTATTTTACGTTACGTTACACTATCGTTGACATCTCTACACCGTAGGCATTGTAATTCATCTATTAACTTTAACTTGTAACACAAAAACCTCAAATACATTAGTTTATATAGAAACTCTGCTTTGATTACAGTGTAGAGTAATTGCGTCCTCATTGAAACATACCGGCTGATATCATACCTCGGTATTTGGTAAAGATCGATTAATAGCTGGTTTTATAGCTACAGTTGTGTCCCTGTGTGGCATTTAGAGCTTGATTTATAGCTAATATTCATATCGACACCGATAGCTAACAAGATTGCGCCCAGTGGAAGTGGTGTTGATATTTCACAGGATTGTAGCCATGTGTTGATATTGATAGTCAAGAGAAACTGAGTTGTACCTGGATAGATACGTTTCTTGAAATTGTTATGGAGTAGGCGTTTTCTGCATCCATTCTGTCCATTCTGTCCATTCTCATGATTCTCTCCAATCTCTATGTTCTCTCCATTTTATCCATTATCTCCTTTCTCTCCATTCTTTCAAATCTTTCCATTCTCCCCATTCTCTCCATTCTCTAATTTTTCTCCTTTCTCTCTTTTCATTTAATTTTCCTGCCATTGGCTGAAGTTCTGGTGACGTAATACAGACTTTACATAATGATATTATCAATAAATATTAGAAATGCAAAAGTAAAAAAAAAATATTATAATAGGAGCAAACTTAAGATTCTCAGGTTCCTGTGGGATATCGTCGTTTTCAAATTGGTTGCGTATTTGTTGAATATGATCTGTGTAATACTACAACTTTTATACAAAACTGCATATAAATGAAATTTCGTATAAATTTGACACAGTTTTATATTAATTTCATTTTTCCTTTACGTCCCTTTAAAGGTCTTATGGAACCTTTCTTAAAGGGATTGAAAGCGCAAACGACCCTTTACGCAAAGTTGACAATGCTAAATTCACAATGGTATTCTGAAAAGCTTTGTCTGATAGAAATTATTGTTTGAAATTTTGAAAGATAATTATTCTTAATTGTGGTTTCCCTTAAGTGACTTGAGCATTTCTATGACAGAAAAACAAAGAAGAATTATCAGAATTCAACACATTTAAACTTATAACTAAGACAATATCTTCCACATTTTTGATCAGATAAAGGTTTCAATGGTACCGTTGTGAATTGGGTATTGCTATCCTTCCGTGGTGAGTCACTTGAAATTGCCCTCACAGTCCCAGAAATCTGTTAAGAGTTGAAAACCATTGAAAACTTTGGGAATTTCAGAGCGGAACACATTTTACGTATGCAGACGCTACAAATAAATCTATTGCAGGCCCCACCCACTGAATCTCCACAGATCTAGGTATTTCATGCTTTAAATTGTTGTCATTCTTAACAAGCTTTAGGAAATGTTCCGCAAGGCATTTAGGTTCCAGAACTGATCAAGAAAAGATTGGTATTGAAAATGTTTAACAATTTTTTTCCAAAATTTATCTGGTCTGATTTTTTAGGTTGGCTGAAGTAGAATGGAGACACAAAATCTCTTCATGAAGTTTCAAATATTCTTTATAGCAGTATATCGGTATGACTTCGCTGAACATGGAAGTTCTTCTAAATTGAATACAACCTTGTTCCTGCATTGTTAGATCTCCTGCCAAACATAATGAACAGAAGTTCTATTAAACAAGGTTATGTTAGGGATCATTCTTGTCTTGTTTGTGGAAAACAGAATGAATACAATTCCGCATTTATAGTTCACATGAGATCACATACTGGTGAGAAACCGTTTCAATGTGATTTTTGTGATAAAAGATTTCCTGGAAAATCCAGTTTAACTCGACACATGAGAACGCATACTGGAGAAAAACCATTGAAGTGTCCTGTGTGTGATAAGAGGTTTAGCCATAACCTTAATTTAACTCTGCACATAAAAACTCACAAGGGAGAAACCCCCTTCAAATGTGATATTTGTGATAAAAGGTTTTCCCAAAAAGGCAATAAAACTATACATATGGGAACCCATACTGGAGGTTTCAAATGTGATATTTGTGATAGAGTGGTTTCTGCAAAAAGCAGTTTAACTTTACACATGAGAACTCACACTGGAGAAAAGCCATTTAAATGTAATATTTGTGAGAAAAGGTTTAATCGGAGTCCTCATTTAACTGCACATTTAAGAACACATTCTGGTGAAAAACCCTACAAGTGTTCAGTATGTGAGAAAATGTTTTCTATAGAAAGCACTTTAATAAGACACATGAGAATCCATTCTGGAGAAACCCTATTCAAGTGTGATGTGTGTGCTAAAGGGTTTATTCAGATTCATCATCTTAAAAATCACATGAGAATTCATATATTGAGAAAAGAAAACCCCTGATTTTGGAGATTGGAGGTCCTGGACAATAATTTGAACACCTGTAAAATTGAGGAATAGATTTATCATGTTGTTAAATACTTCTGCCATCTGTGTTTTTGGAACTTATACGTGAGATTCTGATAATCTGATAATCAAGAAAATGCAAAAAATGCAGAAATTGGGGGGCGAACCAAATTTTTGGTGGAAATTCTCAAACAAAAACTATGTTATAAGTTCCCACTGGAAACCTGAATCATGTATAAGATGAGTCTTAATTTAAAATGTTTTCAATCTAGAAGCTGACGACTATTTCAGGAATAATTGCTTGAAATGTAAAACAATATACATTGCTTGTTATTAATTTTGTACTTTACACGACGCTCTTTTTGACTTTAAAGTTATACAAAGTTTTTTTATTGATTGAGTTGATTAGACTCATTTGTTAATTCATATCTTTATTTTTTCTTGCATTTTTTTCAGATGTTATGGTAGAATGATCGTAGCAGTAATATTAAGCATTTCTTTAATTCTAAGGGTAAGTTACTATTCTTCGTCTTCTATGTTCTTTTTATATTACATGGTCATATGATTCTAGTTCTATCTAGTTCTATCTAGTTCCATCTAGTTCCATCTAGTTCCATCTAGTTCCATCTAGTTCCATCTAGTTCCATCTAGTTCCATCTAGTTCCATCTAGTTCCATCTGGAATTCCATCTGGAATTCCATCTGGAATTTCCTGTCTCGAGAAATTGANATTCCATCTGGAATTCCATCTGGAATTCCATCTGGAATTCCATCTGGAATTCCATCTGGAATTCCATCTGGAATTACATCTGGAATTACATCTGGAATTACATCTGGAATTACATCTGGAATTACATCTGGAATTACATCTGTAATTACATCTGGAATTACATCTGGAATTACATCTGGAATTACATCTGGAATTACATCTGGAATTACATCTGGAATTACATCTGGAATTATATCTGGAATTACATCTCCACCCACCCAGACTAAAGTCAAATATATCAATTTTTCATATTGAATTAAATCTACTTTTGGTTTACAGAAGGTTGATACCTGCAGGGACATGATCAGTTTTATACGATCTACTCCAGTCCGAGTACAAACACTGGAGGATAATCTCTCCTCATTTTCGGCACAAAATCAACTAGATTAAACTCGAGAAACGGCCCAGACTGAAGGTTAGCAATTGTAAAAAAATTATCTAAAACCATACCTGGGAATTTGTGTTGGAAATTCGGTGGCTTAACTCGATATCCATTGGACATACTTTAAAGATGTCGGGATTAAATCCGGGAATATTGAAGCCTGAATCTACCGAGTTAAGCAGAAGATCCAACACAAAACTTTTGCCCTGTAAAAAGTGAAAGAATAATTTTTAGAAATCAGAAAATAGTGGAGGTTTGTTTCCATACTACCTACATTGGTATTCAGAAAGAAAGGAAATAATATATTCACACATTATATCAAAGAGAAAATTAAGAAAACAATTATTGACCGTTTTCTTTTACCACTTGGCAATATTTAAGGAAAATGTACGAGGAATCCCACAGCTATTGTTTACATAAAAGTGTACTGTATTTTCTGGAAGGAATCTTAGACTGAAATTTGTTTTTTATTCCTCCCAGAAACTATTTAGTAAATTCTTTTTTCTTAAACTTTAACAGGAAGGTTAGGAGGAGAANGAGGTTTGGTGAGATCGGAATGTTATTTGATTTAGTTCTATTCCGCTAAACCTAGAACTGCAGTAGCTCGAGACTTTCAATATTGTTTACATTTAACTGGTTGATTTAAATTAGACTAATAATTAATTTACGCTTAAATATCATCTTTCTCGAATTTAAGGAAAAGTTATTTTAGCCTACATTTCTATAAATAACACTATTATTTGGGTTCGCAGTGCTTTATAAAGATTTTAAGCTTAAATTTTTTATTTATTGAGAAAGCTAAGATTTGCTAAAGCTTAGGCGAGATTCTTTGAGACACAGAGAAAATTTAACTCGACAAACTAAATAACACACGTAGAGCCAAAATTATAGCGATTATAGTTAATTTATGAAATGTGTTTGCACAATTGTTTAATACACTTTAATTAACATTAGAAATAACAAATTTTTTGACACTGAAGAAATAAAAAAGTTTATTTCAAAATTATGTTTATTTAGATTTAAAGATTTATTCTAGAAATAAATATCCTAAATAATTTCAAGAAAATCCGGGAATCAATAAAATTGAGCATGAGCAATGTAAGAAAATTTTAGGATAATTTCTGTACATTCAAATTTCTAGTCTAAACAGTGACAGTATACATTTATATTGTACATTTGAACTACAGGGTTAAATTGAGGTTTTAGGGACTAATTTGAAAATTTAAAAAGAAATAATGAATCATTTGTAAAAATGTATAAGTATTTTCTTGCAGAAAATACTTGGTTTTTCGAGTATTATATGCGTATTTAAAGTTAAAGCTTGGAGATAATCCAATATTGTTTGGGACGCTCTGTACCTTAGTGTGTTTGATTTAGATAATTCATTACGGAGATGGGGGACTTTGAAACGAAACATTTGTTAATATTTTTCCTTTCTTCCTTAAAGGCTCAGTAATTTAACAACATCATGGAGCTCTGTACTTTCTCTTGATTTAACTCAACAATTCATTTCGTAGCTCAGTTATTCAGTTGTGCAATTTAGTAGTTAAATGAATAGTTCAATAGTTCAGTAGTTTGGTCGTTTAGTAGTTAAGTAGTTCAGTAGTTCAGTAGTTCAGAAGTTCAGTAGTTCAGTAGTTTGGTAGTTCAGTAGTTTGGTAGTTTAGTAGCTTAGTAGTTTAGTAGTTTAGTAGCTTAGTAGTTTGGTAGTTTAGTAGTTTAGTAGTTTAGTAGTTTTAGTAGTAAGTATAATAGTATAGTAGTATGCAGTAAAATAACATGGATAGATATAAACGTAGTTAATCTTTAATCATGTTACTTGGCTCATGTTTATCTAGGCATGCTCAGGTTAACAAATATGTGGATTGCTATGATATTTTCTACAATTATAGTAGTATAGTAGTATAGTAGTATAGTAGTATAGTAGTATATTAGTATAGTAATATAGTAGTATCTAGTAGTATAGTAGTTTAGTAGTTTATAAGTATAGTAGTATAGTAGTATAGTAGTATATTAGTATAGTAATATAGTAGTATCTAGAAGTATAGAAGTTTAGTAGTTTGGTAGTAGTAGTTTAGTAGTTTATAAGTATAGTAGTATAGTAGTATATATATGTATAGAAGTATGGTAGTTTGGTAGTATGGTAGCTTTGGTAGCTTTGTAGTTTGGTAGTTAGTTTGGTACTTTGGTAGTGACATAGTTTAGTTGTTACGTAGTTATGCTGTAACTTAGTTTCGTAGTTTTGTAGTTACATAGCTTTGTATTTACGTAGTGCAGTAGTGCAGTAGTGCAGTAGTTAAAATAATCTCTTTAACATTTGTTTTCTTTCAGAAAACTGAATCCTGAAAATCTGTTCTAATTAAAATGGAATACTCCGAGGTAAATAAACAGTAAGCCAACTCCACCCTCCCCCTGAAAAAAAATTCCACACACGCACAAGGGATAGAGCGGGATTTTCAATTAAAAATCTTTTATTTGATAACAAAATATCTTCTTTGATCAAATTAAAAGTTTTTTTATTTATAGAGAAAGGTTTCGGCAATATTTGCTGGACATTTTCGGGTCCCCAATAAACATGGGGATTTTGAGACGGTCTGCAAAATTTTTCAATTTTAGAAAAGGGCGGAAGTGATATAAAAAGAGTCAATAATTTCCTATCCTAATATCTGTGGGAGGGTGTCCCATGACAGTAGCAAGACAACTTGAAGGTCGTCTTAGAAACCTATTTTTTTTACAGTAGAATTGTAGAGATGCTTGTCACACAAAAAACCGTAGTTCTGCCATTTTCTGTCTTTGTCGCGCTGTCAATATTACCGGAAATATAAAGAATTTCGTTCAGATTTCGACAGTTTGGGTTTTATTTAATAATTGGAAATCTGAACGTTAAATTCTTAATATCTCCGGTTCAGACCATATTTTGAAAATTCCAGAACCAGGAGATTTTTGTTAATATTGTTTCTAGAATCATAATGTAATAGTATCGATTGACGAACGAATGCCGCAAATAATTTCAAAGATCTAAGACGACCTTCCAAGTCGTTTTGCTTCCGTCAAGTTTCATGGAACACCCTGTATGAACATGGAAGCCCGTGTTTTAAATTAAAAGGGATTCACAGTGTTCCTTAAGAGCAAAAAGGTTTAACTTGGTATTGCGGAGCAAATTCAACTTGTTTCTGGTTCTCATACATGAGGGTGATTGGAAACAAGTTTCCGAAAAATCATATCACTCCGTCCTGGTGAGATATTGAGGTTTTTTCAGACACACCCTGTACAACCGGAGACACATGTTACATGCTTAATCACTTTTTTCTGTTAAAGTTATTCCTTTAATTTCTTTTCCCAGACCTTTCTGCAAGTATTATCTTGTTCAGTATAAATTTTCATGAGCATCCTTCCAAAACTAAGGACAAAAAAGTTGTCATTAAACTTCCATGTTTACTGAAAAACACCCTGCATTTAAAATCTGGCTGAATCATTGTATGGTGTGAAATAAGAAAATAAATATAAGAAACATGTAATTGTAAAGCCTTTGTTTTGACTTGTTTATTGCAGCTTTATAACGTTTTTATTTCAAAGGGACTGTAACTGTAATTTCATGTGACTTCCCATGCAAAGATGACAATGACCTTTTTTACAATAGTACCCTAAACAGTCTCTTTAATAAATGCATGTAATGTTTAGTACAATGTTGATGGTGGGAATGGTGGAGATGAAACTGTGGGACATCTCCGTCAACGGTTAAACGTGATGCGAGAAATTGTTCAGGTGACATTTTAATCTTTTTAGTAAAACTTAATTTTTTTTTGAAGGCTGTTATCCATGAAATACCATGAAGTGCAGTGTTAAATAAAACGTCCCTTTTTATAGTTTTGGTCGTTACTGAAGTCTTATTTTTATGGGAAACCTGATATGTAACGAAGATCTTGAACAATATAGTATTTGAACTGTAGCTTTAAAGTTTCAAGTTACGCCTCTAAAGAGTGCAGTATACTAGTCACGTGATACAGACAGAGACACGTGACCACTATACTGCACTACCATTGGTGGGAGTTCTGGTGACGTAATACAGACTTTATAAATAATATTATCAATTATATCTATCAAAAATAAAAATAAAAATTATAAAATAATAATTGGTGAAAACCCAAGTTACAATTAGGTTCTCTCTGGGATATCTTTGCTTTCAGATTGATTTATTTGCTGAATATGATCTGTTTAAACCTACTATTTCTATACAAAATTGTATATATATGAATTTTTGTACGAATTTGACACCTTTTCATATAATTTTCTCGAGACAGGAACATCAAATATAACTTTCATTAATTCGCAATCAAGAGCTGAAGTGATTAGCTTTCAGCCTATACCCCCTTTCATTTTTCCTTTACAGTCACTTTAAGAATTAGCCTTGTAAACCCGGATTTTAAAAGTCATAAAATAATTATACATGCTTACGGTAAAGGCTCATTGATGTGTCTGTAATGCCTCTGCAAGGTGAACAATGACGACCGACAAGTTTATTTTGACATTTTTCTTGTTTTATTGAGTGAAAGTGTAAGCAATCAAAACTAAACCACATACTAGATATACACAGACTGTTCATAAGCTCTACCTGGATATGCCAACAAAAAACTATTTAAGATAAAAAGCTATAAAATTATGTAAAAGGGGTCAAATTGTGATCGAAAGTCACAGTTTTCTGAAATATTGACAGAACCGTTAAATCCACGTGATTCCCATGCAAAATGCTATGTCACTTCAAATAATCGAAAGAATTCGCCAAGTTATGTTCATCAATAAATTAGAGTTAACAATAATTTAATGATTTAAAAAAAATTGTTTTTTTTATAATTAATCTGTTTATTTTGGCTGAAATCAGGAAGAGGATAAGGATGGCAAAAAGAAAAAGAGAAGAAGAGGAAAGTGTATGGATACAATTATAGATGGAAGGTAAAGATGGACCTAACGTATTTCAAACTTACAACAGAAAATATTTTAAATAAAATAAATGTTGAAAGAACTATACTAGGCTTTCAGGGCGTTTAGATTTTAACTTTGTTGCGCAATATGCAGCATTATATCTTCTAGATGGTCAAACTTTAAAAACTATAATTTCTAGGATTTAACGAATTTTTTTCGTTAATTTTAGAAATAAATTTTATTAAGGAAATTTTTTAATTTCTCCATAAACCTTCCCTTGGGTCCTGTGATGATGCGAGGCCCCACACAAAATTTGGGCCGGATTTTTCATTGTAAACTAGCAAACAAATCAATCGACCAGTATATATTAGGGTACCCCAATAAAAGACCAAATTGGGATATTTGTATGATGCCTTCTCTATAAAGCTATTTAACCTACAGTATAGTTTCAATAACAATAATAAGAAAATATATTTTAGATATTTAAGCCACGGTATAGTAATAATAATAATAATCAGATTTGGAAAAGCCAAAAATCTGACTGTTTTATTCTAGTTTAATGGGGGCTGTCCTGGCTGTGTGTTTAGCTATGGTTCTCGGTGCAAGCTTTTTTGCTTACAAGAACCTTTACTTTGCAGGTCAAACATTTACTTTAAGGGATCCTTCATGCTTTGATGGCAATGTCCGATTCACAGCAGTACCCTTAACATCTTTGCCAGATTAAGATACAGGGTTACCCACAAAGGATGAGACTGTAAAGACGACCCAACACTCTAAAAATATGACGATTTGAAGCTTGATATTTGGTTTCTGCATTTAATTGAGTATTTTAATGGGTTTCTAAATGATCAAGCACAGAAATATGTCAGTTTTAGCCTGCAAGAAAGCCGAAATGCAAGAAAACAGACTAAACAAATTCCGAACAATCGTCTCTAAAGTGAAAAGTCTCATCCTTTTTGGGTAACCCTGTATATAAATTAGATATCAATGTTGATAATTTGAGAACTAATTATTTTCAAGTGTGATTTCTTTTCAAAAATTACTTGCGCATTTTTACAGAAGGAAAACATAGGAACTATCTGATTTAATCACTTTTCAATCAAGAAAAATGACAAAATCAGATAAAGGTTTCTAAGGTACCATTTGTTAATCGGACATTACCATCTTTGCATGGAGATTGGAGGGTCACGTTGTCAACAATTGATAAATAAGCAGAAATTTATGAAATGTACATTTTACAGCATATGCAGGCTTAAATTTAAATGTCAGTACAATGTTTAGAAACCCCCGCGTAATTTAAGGGAAGCAGATAAAATATAATATTATGTTGCAGTTATGAAGAAGTGGTATCCTGAAACCTACAAAGCTTGAGCGAAGAACGGATGAAATGTCGTCTTTGTTGACAGAGTTTTTGGTTAAAAAAAAAGACAATATTATTTAAACATGTTGCCAAATTAGTAAAAGCTCAATTTTATGGAAAAGATCTTTGAGGTTTTACATTTTCTTTTTAATGGTTCTTCCGAACAGCTCTTTTTTCTTCCATTTGTGGTTAATGTTTTATTAATTGATTTATGATCAAGGTGTTTCAATAAACATGGGAATTAAGAGAATGAAGACATAAAAATCGTCTATTACAAATTACGATCACAAATTTTACACCGTCAATAGCTGCAATTGTATACCGTAAAGTTAACACAGCTGTGTAGTTGCCTAAAATCAAATGAACCTGGGGTTTTCAGTGAGTAGAATTAAATACTCGTTATTAAATTTCTGAAAATTTAGCCGATTTTTGGGAATCTGACTCGTGTGTTTTCAATCAATTTTATAGGCAGACTGCATTTTTGAAATTCCACATTGATCATAGACTATTTAAAGTCCCATGTTATCCTAGAACTCGTTGTTTAACACTAATTGTTTTGTACAGTGAAACTCATTAATATGAATACATCAGAAGAATGTTTAAAATGTCGTCTTTATCAATGTTCATCAGTATAGGCCGCTGAGAGTTGTATGAAATGTAGCGCCCAATTCTATCTATTATTTTGTATTTCAGGGCTATTTATTTTTCTTTACAAAAATACATTCAGGAAACTTTCATTCCCGATAAAAACTTTGACACTCACACAGAAACTGTGATTATGTTTTAGTAAACTTTGACAGCTTGGGAAAATACAGCTGACAGCTTCAAATTCAAATTCAAGGCGACATTATATAAATTCTTCCGATGTATTCATATTAATGAGTTTAACTGTATGAATTGAATACATAATTATATTAAATTGTAAACCCCTTCTACATAGGTAATAAATTTTAAAAGTGGCTTGAGTTACATGGAGTGGTTGGCGTTTATATTAATACAAAGAAGTTAAAAGTACCAAGTATTTGTTTCCACGTTGTAAGTGTATTCATGCTGCTAAAAAGCTCTAAAGTTCGTCAAATTTTCGAGTTATAGGTCGTCTTCTTTCTGGGTTAACCTGTATTGATATAGAGTAGCTGAAAACGTATTCATGTTGGGTTCAAAGTTTTAGGAAAGTGCCCGGATGAGGCTGTTAAAATCAGTGAAAACAACAATCTTTAGAAATATTTTATTCATTAACAGTGTTTCAATCTAGATAAAATCTTCAATGTGCACGATTTGAGCATTTATCACAGATGCTTTGCGGATTTCTAATATATGTTCAATTTCAAATCTAATCTTGTTGTGAATCTATGTACAGGGCCGTATAGGGGTGTGAACTTTTAGCGCGATTTCTTAGTTTACCCTCTAGCGGTCGCTATTCACCCACCCTCCAGAGGTCGCTACTCGCTATTAACCCCCTTAGAAGATCGGGATTAATAAAAAACAAGAGTTTCACATTAATTACTTTTGAAATAATAACTTAAAATGGACAAAATGTTTATTGTTACTAGAAAACGAATACAAATGGAAGATTAATATATTAGGCTTATGATCAGGGGGCCTGGGGTTCTCCCCCCCCCCATACGCGTTTGATAAAGTAACTCTGTTATTTTTTTTGGGGTCAGATAATAACTCAGGAACCACTTGACTAATTTGTCCAAAATATTGATTAGGGAACTCGGACGTACTACGTGAATGTTCTCAGCGTGGTTTAAAAAATTCTAAGTTTAGTTGACTGACTCCAGAGAAAGCTGGGTCCCCAAACTAGTATTCAATAAAGTCGATCTTGGTATTTTAAAAAAGTCCTAATTGCACTCAACATTTAATTTGAGAATCTTGTTTTTATGTCGACATTTATGCATAATTTCATGTCTCTCATTCAATCTTCTATCTTTGAGAGTGCTTTCTCAATTAGACAGACACACTTAAAACAGAAGCGAATCAATTCTTGCATTAAGAAAACTACGATATATTCATTTATCTATTGTTATTGTTTACAAGAAAGAAAATGCTCGAATTAGAAACCAAACTCGAGGATCACAAAGTTAATATTTTTAACCCAAAAATACATATTTTTACCCCTGCCCCTTCCTAACGTAAATAAGCGTTATGGGTTTGGCTTAGAATAGGAGCATGGTTTCAGTGATAGCACTTGCTGCATTAATATATCATGTACTGGGTGTCCCAAGAAACATGACAGGTGAGGGACGACTTGAAGGTTAGTTGGTAGGTTTATTAGTTAGTTAGTTGGTTGGTTGGTTAGTTAGTTAGTTAGTTAGTTAGTTAGTTAGTTAGTTAGTTAGTAAGTTAGTTAGTAAGTTCGTTGGTTGGTTGGTTGGTTGGTTGGTTGGTTGGTTGGCTGGTTGGTTGGTAGTTTTAGTTAGTTAGTTACACTTCATTACTTACTGGCACACTATACAGGAATACAGGGGCCAACAGATAGACAGATTCTAGATATATATAGATAAATAATAGATGAATACAATTGATAGACAGATACTAGATATATACAGATAAATAAGAGATAAATGCAATAGATAGATAGATAATAGTTCGTGGATCCATATATATATTTGTGCATTATCTTAAACAAATAACTTTAGGTTAAAGGGTGGAAGTAGTTGGATAGGTGAAAAGATAGATAGATGGAAAGATAGAAATGACGAAGAGTTGGATAGAAAAATTAATAGATTGATAGAAGGAAAGATGGGTAGATGGATAGATGTATACATGAATGACAATACAGATAGAACACCATATGTCGTCTTTTCAAAATTTACGGGGTTTTACGTTCACAATAACCCTGAGGCAGAGACCCAAAGGAGTTACGCGCATGATCTCTCTCTCTGTCTTGTAATTCAACACTGCCTGCGCGGAACTCCATAGCCAGGCGCGTACACAGGATTTTAGCCAGGGGGGGGGGGGGAAAAAATCCCCAAAAAAGCCCAATTTTTTGGGGTGAACAACCTTATTTATTCTAAAATTTATTCCTTTGCTTGAAAAACTAACTTTAACTTTTTAACTTTATAAATTTATAAATTTATCACTTAACTCCATCACAGCTAACTAAATCAATAATCACAGCTTCATTAAAAATCATATTTTCACTGATAAACGAAATTTCTTCTGATATTTGTAGATAGAATTTTACTCCATCTACATATTCACCAACTCTTTTTTAAGCTTCAATTTTCTTGGATTTGCTTACACAAACATTTCAATGATTTTCTCAGTAGTGAGCCATAAGTGCAAGATCGTTAGGTCTGCTCTCCGTCATAGTTGTGTAACGAAGTATTATTCTCTTTAGAAGGCTAAAACTTCTCTTTCCTTCATTCAATGTTATGTCATCATTGCATAAATTGGAACTTGAAATAACGCTTATTATCTCTTTATGAAAATAAAAAAATTGAGTCTTTCCCACAAACTCTGATTTTCTAATCACTATATCTTTGGAACCAAATGTTGTAGACATAGATCAATAAATAAACATAGATAGCTTATGTACGCAAAATCACCAAGAATTTTACAGTCCGTGAACTTATACTTCTTGGGGTCAAAGTGTACTTCAATGATAAGT